GGAGGTAGAAAGCCTAGTCTTTCTCCTGAGCTGCTGGGGGTGTCACACTGCCAACCATGTGGATTACAGCCCCGCACCAGCAGGACTCCATTTTTGGAAACTGGAAATGAGAGCTTGTCGTTTCCCTAGTGAATAGCCTGCAAGGGTGCACACTCGGCTTTGAGATAGACTCTCAATGCTCTGAACTGCGTCTTTTTTGTTACCTCATGTCCGCCCACTTTATCCATCCTGACCTCTCCGGAGTGCTGCATTCTTCCGCGGTGCTACCTTCTTTCCAGCCTCTCTGCCTTGGCACATGCCGCTCATGCTGTGGTGCTCTCGCTGCACCTCACGCTGCTCCTTTAAAGCTTTCCTGAAGCTTCTCCAGGACACGGCCTGGCCCCATAGTCTAGTTTATGTGCCCCATGAGCACGCTGTTCATTGCGCAGCCACAGCGTGTTGTTAGAAAATAATTGCACACATTTTCGTGTCGTGTACCAGGCTCCTGGCAGCCGTCTTTTTGGTGACCGTGGGGAGTGAACAGCCTTTCTCATGAGAGGTGCGCCTTTTGCTCCACAGTGACAACTGAACGCCCCGTGCAGGTGAAGGTGGTCAAAGTGAAGAAATCTGACAAAGGAGATTTTTACAAACGGCAGATCGCCTGGGCCCTTCGAGACCTCGCCATCGTGGATGCCAAAGATGCTATTAAAGTATGTTTGCCTTAGTTCCGAAAGCATCTTCCGTTGTGTGTGTAAGTTTGTGTTTCATAAGATGATCAGTCTCAATTGTTTGTGATATCACTGGCTCACAATCCTCAACCAAGAATGAGTCGGAAGTACCGTGTGTCAGTCAGTACCTTGAAAACCAAACTCACTGCCATCGAGTCCATGCCGACTGAACAGACAGAACTTCCCATGTGAGTCTCCAAGACGGTAACTCTTGACAGGAATAGCCAGCCTCCTCCTTCTCCCTGGGAGCAGCTGGGGGTTTCAACAGGTGACCTTGCCATTAAGCAGCCCCACGTGTAACCACTACTCCCCCAGGGCTCCTTGTCATTCATTGTCATGGATGTCATTTGATGTACTGCTGAAAAGAATTGCTATGACATTGCATTTAATTAGGCTTGACCCAGATTTGAGACATTTTAAGGCTGGGGTTGTGTGGAGGGGAATACATCATAGGTCCTATCAATGCCCTCGGATTAAGTTTGCCAAATGCAGTATTTGTTTGAAGATTTTTGCACCCACGTATATTGGGAGCATTGGTCTTCTGCTTTTGCACACTGTCTTTGTCTGGCTTTATAAAGAAGTTAGAAAATGAATTTCAGAGTGTTCCCTCATTTCCTGTATCTTGGGGATCATTGGGTCAGTTTGCAAGGTAATAGTCAAATTTCCACGCTGCCCTCCTCCCTCAGAGACTCCCCCAAGCTTCTAAACTTAAGTATGTGTTGATGTTTTAAGTATTGTTTAATGGTTTTTGCATGTTTTGAGCTGCAGTTGATGTTTGTGCACAAGCTGTATAAACCAGAGCAAAATAACCATTGACTCCATATATTTAAATACATAGGTGTATTTGGGCCATGTACAGAGGTTCATGGAAACATGGAATTAAACGATACTAGAATTACTCTACCCCCCCCCACCCCCAAATGGTTTGTTGTATGAATGATTGTCTTTGTTTTATTTTGTTTTGAATCTTCATAGTATTAGTAAAATCTGTTTCCAAATCATGGACTGTAACCAAAATGAGTTCAGTCATTGAGATTGACCCACTGACGCAGTCTGGCTGGCTTCACAAGCCCATGGCTTCTCTGTGTGGTTCAAGTAGAAAGTGACACACTTTAATCTTAAAGAAAATATAGCTTACACCTGCCCCAAAACCACCACAAGTCTTAAAGAATGTAGTCACATGATCATATTAATGGACCTGGTAACACATTCTCACATTCTACACAGGAATCAGATGGCGTGCCTCTGATGGAATTAGGCCCTTTCTTTCTCCACCTCATTCTCTGACCTGCTTCTCATCCTCGTCGGCCCTAAGAGACAGTGCAACACATCCACTGACCCTGCTGCTGGGGGCGGGGTGAGAGGGAGGCTCGCACGATGGAAGGATAGGCGCACTTTGATTCCAGTCTTAAATCTTACCTGTTTATTCAAAAGGCTCAGAGAAGTAAAAGACCTTATACCTTTGTGAAACACATTTTATTTTAAAAACATCTACCACAAACCTCTGAGGAGTGGAGAGCGGCGATGGTGAGCCAGCTGCAAAAAGAAATGGTGCAGACAGAGTTTCAGGAGCGCCCTGCTCCTCTGTGGAGTTTACTTTCTCCCAATGCAGTGAGTGCCTTTTCTTCAGGTCTTTCAGGTAAACCAGGGCCTTTGCTTGACCCCCAAGGAGCACCTCATTTTCAGAGACACGTGGAAACAGTGTATGGCCAGTGCCTTGGGGTATATTTTATTGTGATAGAATTAGATTGGCATTTTTTAAAGCCTTTAATATATTATCGTGGGGAGAGGTCAAGAGTACTCTTTTGGTACTTTTCTGTTTAATGGAAAAGGCTGTAAGGGCTTGCCACAAAAGTGCCTTCATTAAGAAGCCTCTGTCCTGTGAGTAGTTTTGCACTCCCAGCCCTCACCCATCACCCTGCAAACTGGCAGAATTCACTAACGGTGCTGAATGCTCTCCCACAGCTGACGCCTCATTGCTGACTGGCTTAATGGATGTTCTTTGCATTTAATGTAGGCACCTTTGTGTGTGTCCTCTCTATATGGATATAAAATATAAATTTTTATACATGGCCTAACATTAGCCACTTAGTATCACACATTGATTTGTGTGGATGTTACCACTGGAGCACTCAGCTTCTGTGATGGTGTTATGGGAACTCTTCCCAGGGAAGAGATCATTTCCCATCAAGTTTCAGATCACTTGCCAATACGTTAGATTTTTTTTTTACAAGTAGTGACAAGTACTTTTTCATTGTAAATAACAGGTTCTTAATTTTTTTCAATACTTCAGTCCTATTCATTAAACCATAAATAGAACTCTTTAGTCACTCCATGCTGTCATATGATTGTTACACCACAGGTCAAGCCCTGATCCCCAAAACGTCTTAAACTCTTCAAAACTCTGCTTTCGTGTCCCTCATCTCTGAGGTCTCTGTTGACATCTATTTGTGAAGAGTGATGCTTAAAGTGCATGGACTCTCTGCTCCTGCTCTTCTCCCCATCAGCCACGAAGAGGATGAAAGAGTTGAGATTGCCCATGTGGTTTCATTTGTTTGTTTGGTATTCATGTAGTTTCACCTTCGAGGGGAAATGACCACTCTGGCATGAAATTACGGTTGCAATGGGACTTTCTCTCAGATAGTTGAGCTTCGTTATCATATGGAAGAACTTCAAAACCCATTTTTGGCATGTGAAATACCTGCGGTCATTCTTTATTTTCAAACCAGAAAACAATGAGAAGTAATCCTTGCATTTTACCATATCTCTTCTTGAAAACCACACCAATATGTACATTGCATTTTCCTCCTGTGCTGTAATGAGATGGTGTGTTCCTTATCAAGGAGTCAGTGTCAAACGACAGTCACAAACAGTAGTCCATTCCTAAAGAGAGCGTGCAGCTGTAAAACTCCACGGATGATTTAAATAGAATCCTCTCCGTGCCACAGACCAGGAGGCTAAGATCCAAAGCCAGAAGTAGACATGCTAGGGGGGAAATGACCAAAGCCTCGTGGCACTGTTTCCCATCCACTTGTTTTGGCTGGTTAGCAAAGTTATTGTTACAAATTCGATTCTCTGAGCCATTCTCTGCAAATCACACTGAGATTTGGGGCGGGGAGGGGGAGTGTTACATTTTTCCTCGAGAGCAGCTTCAACTTTTTATCTTGCTGAAATACAGATTGTTACACTAATGATGGAAAGCATAGATAGTCACAGTAATTTGTTGTGTGTGTTTTTATCTTAGGAGAACCCTGAATTTGACTTGCATTTTGAAAAAGTCTATAAGTGGGTGGCCAGCAGCACGGCTGAGAAGAATGCATTCATTTCATGCATCTGGAAATTGAATCAGCGTTATCTCCGGAAGAAAATAGAGTTTGTCCATGTTAGCTCACAGCTCTTAGAAGGTAAATTTAACATGCACATGTGAATCAAGTGATCTTAAAGAGAACATGTCGTTGGACATCACTGAAATTAAATTAGGACACTGAGTTACCTTATATTGTAAAGCAATTTAAAAATAATTTTTCTTATAGCTGAGGTGATACTTGTGCATTAGAGGAAATTGATAAAGTTAAATAAGTAAGAACTACTTACCAGTCTATACCCCGTGATAACCACCGTTAACATTTTCTTAGAAATTCTTTTATTTTTTACGAACATCGAAATACCTCTTTAAGGAAAGAAATTTAGATTCTGTTTCCTGCCATACTTTTTCATATTGTTTATCATGAACATTTTTCATGTTATTAAATACTTAGTGCAACTTCATTTTGAATGACACCATAGTATTCCATCGTATGAATGTACCATACTACTTAACTAATAATTTATTTTTAATTTTCCAGCTTTTGTTCATTTTAAGCAGCTGTCTTTTCTTGCTGACGGGAGGTGAGGTTCACAACGCAGAGCTGCAGTCAGACTGCCTGGGTTCAGTTTGTGGCGTTGCCATCCGACCACCTCTGTGCCCACTAGTTGTCGTCTGCGTCTCTCTGCCCTCCTCTCAGGGACAGAAATGACAGTCGTGGTTACCTCATCCAGTTGTTGTAACGATTAGATTATTTTATATCTGAAAGTGATCCTAACAGTGTACCTAACACACACACAGACTCAAGAAATATTAGCAATTATTTCTGTATTATGAAACTAAAAGGCTCATACCTGAAGTTAATTAGGATATTTTGCTCAATATAGCTTCAAGAATGCTACTCTTTATGCCACCAGGCAAAAACACTAATGTTAATTATTTTAGAGGTCTAAAGAGAGTTGATAGTATAAAGTTTTCTCTGCCTGAAGACGGACGCATTATAAGAACCGTGCTTCTGTGTGCCTTACAGTGGATGCAAGTTTGTGTCGTCGTCTTTACCCCCCAGGAAGCCACTGAGGTAAAAGCGAAGGTGCAGATCAACAGAGCGCTTCTTAAAAACAGTTGTTGCTCCTCATGATTGAGAGAAAAACCTTAGCCATGTCTCAACCTGTGTTAGGAAGAAATATTGTCTTTATCTTAAGTTGTACAGTGGAATTGAAAATGAGAAGCTTTTTGTCCCTTTGAACCACCGGTTACCGCCAACGTTCCATCACTGGACCTACAAATTGGAGGTTTTAGAAGGTTCACGTGGCACCTTCATCTAGTCAGCGTCTCTGGCCCTTCTCTCTTGTTGCTCGGTTCCTTCCTGCTCGGCCTGCCACCCGTGTCTCCTTGAATGTAGTTTCCTCTCACAACACTTGGTGCAGCAGGGCCTGTTGGATAGCTAGAACTCAGGCAGAGTGGAACGAAGTTTCAGGTGTTCCCTTCTAAAACAAGCAAGCAGCAAGTGGCACAGCTGTACCCTGGCAAAGGTGTGGGTCTGGTGAGACCCGGCTCTGGCTTGGGGTGTGTTACTTGGAACCGGCAGAAGGAAGCCCTTTGTCACGCCGGGTGTCAGAGCCCCCAGGGCCACTGTCTCTCACCATTAGCTCCCAGGATCTCAGCTGTGGTATTGAAGAAATGGCCTTCAAGAAATTTGGGGATGTTTTTCATGCCTTGAATAGGGGTTTAATTTAAGTAGCTTTTTCATTTTATTTTACTTTCAGAGGTAAAACAGTGTAGCCACAATAGGATTCACTCATTTGCTGTTTTCTTTTCGAAGCTTATGCAATTCCAGATGTTATCTATCAGCTCAGATGGGTTTAAAACCAATGTATTTCATTAGGTCAACAGTATGGGAAGGCACGGGGAGCCCTGGAGGCATAGTGGTTAGGCAGGGTCATCAGTTTGAAACCACCAGCTGCTCCGCGGGAAGAAGACAAATTTTCTACTCCCGTAAAGCGTTCTTCTCAGAAACCCACAGGGGCAGTTTTACTCTGCCCTGCAGGGTCGTAATGGACTCATTGGCAGTGAGAATGGAAGACAAAGCCTACCTGGATTCACTTCATTAAAAACTACCTGCTCCTCACTCAGGGACATGGTGATGTTCCAAAGACTAGGTCCTTAAAACGCCAAAATTGGCACTATGTGCTTTAGATCATTTCCATGGGTCTGATAATTTTAAGTTTAGAAAGTCCGAACATAGAAGTAACGGCAGCTAAGTATGATGTACTGATGTGCTCATCACCAGGGCACAACCACTTAGGGTTTATCCCTCGGAAGAGGGTGAGGCTTGCAGGGGGCACAGCTGGATAGAGCCTTGCGGTGACTGGAGGATCCATAGCTGGACTACTTCCCTTCCCCCTGCGCTTGGGCGGAGCTTCCCCGGAGCCTCCCCAGGGCTCTGCATTCAGGACTCCAGAGCCTGCCAGGCAAGTCAGTGACTGGGCCTTCCTGTGGGGCCAAGAAAGTAGAAGCTGTAGGCCCAATTTGGCTCAGTTGGGGTGTCATTAAGCTCACCCATTTCTTCCACACACCCTCTCCATGCCTCTTTCTTCCTGCCCACCCACAGCAGTTCCGAGGGCTGCAGGAACTCTGATCCCAAGGCAGGCCCCTGGGGGCCCTTTGTGGCTCCCAGAAGCCAGCCAGAGAAGGTGGCCCTGGAGGAGGCCTGGCCCAAGACCCACCTCAGGGGCGGGGATGCTCCCCAGCTCTGCACAGCACCTCACTAATTTAAAAAATGGTCGGGTGGCAGGTGTTCTGCTGTTTTTGTCCATGTTAGAGGTGATGGATAAGTGAGGAGTGCTCTATTCCCAAAGCCAGTGAGAAGAATGTGGCTGTTGTGATCATGACATGTCTGACTAAAATAATAATAATTACATTTTTCAAGCCCTAAGACAAAATATGTAGACATTTTGTTGTTTATGAGTATTCTCTCTAACTTGAGGTCAATTTCAGGAATAGCAAGATTCCTGAGGTTTGCACTTTGAAAATTACTTTCTGTGGATCAATAACCATTGCTTTGGTTTAGTGGAGTTCAGGGAATAGTTATATTAATGGCTCCAAATATGTATTAATGTTTGTGTTAATGGATCTTGAAATCATGGTAGCTAATCCTATTTAAAACAAACAAACAAAAAATGCATCTGTAAGTTTTAGACAGTGGTAGCAAACAAATTATCAGCACCTCTTTTTACTGGTTTATTACCTGAGGAAATAAGACAGTTGTTAATTGTGAATATTGGCAGGAGCTACATTGCTAGTTTTTACTGGTGGTAGTTGAACGCTTATGCTACTTAATTAGGGCTTCTCTTCTTTCAGAGAGAACTGT